CTATATGATCCACTCCTCCTATGTGATTTCATCACTTCATTTCAGAGCCATTTAGAACAGTGATCCCCTAAGTGGGGTCTTTTCTCCAAAGCACAGAGCTAATCCTGGCTTTGCTCCACTGCACTGAAGTAGGAAGTGCTTCTGAAGAGCTTTAAGTCTAAATTGTGTTTAGTCATTTTCATTCTGAGTTTTCCTCTCCTTGTACTGTAACCATCTCCTGATGTGACATAAATCGGTTGCTTACTGCGTCGTCAGGATCCTCCTCTTATGCTGCTCAAGGAATGTATTTTTTTCCAGTACATTTTTATTCTGTCCATTTTCCAAGGAACTCAAGGTGGCATACATGGTTCTCCCTCCATTTTTAAACCCAAAACAACCTTGCGAGAAAAATCAGGTTAAAAGAGTATAATTGGCCCAAGGTCAACCAGCAAGTTTCATGGCAGATGGAGGATTTTCCAGGTGGCACTGGGAAATAGCTGCTCAGTTGCTGGGCTGGTGGCTCTCAAGGTTCTGTGTTACCTCCCATGCTGTTTAGCATCTACATAACAAGAGCTCATCTGGAGGGTTTAGAATGAAGAGTCACCAGTATACAGATGATTCTTTTCAACTCCTTTTCCATTGAGGCAATGGATAATCAGAGATAGCAATGGGCTGGATGAAGACCAAGAAACTGAAGCTCATTCTAGATAAGCTAGAGGAACCATTGCTCAGCAATGTAGCTAACTAGGGATTGATGTGTCAACTTGCCATAGATGGGATTGTAGGCTGGTTTCCATGGGGTAATATTAGATCTCTGTCTTTAGATTGAGGCTCAAGTCTAGAGATGTAAAATTTCCGGAAAATTTGAAGCTCGGGAAAAAATGTGGTTTTTTTCCGGGGGGGAACGGAAGTTTTTGGAAAAATTGAAAAAAATGCTACATTAGCACTTCTTTTTTATTTTCCAGATTGAAAGTCATTCTGTTACTTTAGGAACATAAAATATGACTATGGACATTTTTACTTGGCATGAAATTATCACAACTAGCATATTAAAAATATAGTGTATCCAAACAGTTATTACAAACAAAATACCCACCCACATGCAAAAACAAAACTGAAACCTTTTTCTTTTCTTGTGACAATAGCACCTCCTAAAGGAAGAAATGCATCTTGTTCTTGCATTGGAGAGTTCAGTTTGTAACCTAGGACTTGCTTGTCCTCAGTGCACAGAAATTAGATCGATCTGATAACATACATATTTTTTAGAAATGATTTGGAAAATATTTGAACACCTTGTCTTAAAATATTTTATTCATCATGTTAAAATAAAATGTTCCATAATCAATTTTTTTCTTTTCTTTTTTCAATTTTCCCAATTTTTCGGTGGGGGGGGGAAGGCTTCAGGATTTTTCCGGTTTTTTTCTGGGCCTTCACATCTCTACTCAAGTCTCATCTGTGTTGTGTAGTACCTTCAAACAACTGCAGATAATCTGCCAGCTGTACCCCATCCTGCGAAAGGTAGACGTCATGTGGAGCCACCTTTGATGACTTCTGCTTCATTTCCAAGCAGAACTTCAAAGTGCTGGTCCTTCTCTTAAAATCCCTAAATGATCTGGGATCATGGATTCTGAAGGCCCACCTGTTCAAATAGGAACTGGACAGATTCTGACTGTTCTTCATGTCCTCTTCCTTCTGAAGTAAGCCAGGGAAAGCCTTTTCTCTTACCTAGTGCTTTGAGTTTTACTTGCTAGAAGACATGTTCTTTGGGTAAACATAGTGCATGCAGGCTTTCCCCTCTCACACTCCTGGCTTGTTTGGATCATGATATATGGTTTAATGCTGCTACATTGCTGTTTTTATTTTATGGTACTGTATTTTTAAAATTAATTGAATTGTAACAGGGGCTGTCCTAAACGATATTCAGAACATTTTTGTTGGATAAGGGCACAGAAATGTCTTCAATAAAATAAATAAATGTCACATTTGGCAGTATTGCAAAGAACAGGGGGTACATTCCAGAAAACAGGGCTTTGGGACAGCCAACTCCCCTTGAAAATGGATAGCAGTTGTCTCCATGGCTGGAACTGCTATTGCCCAATATTGTGTGCTTTATGTGTGCTGGATAAAAACAATGGTGCAGAGCAAAGAAATGAGCTCCTGTAGAACTCAGATTTAGTGTATCCTCTACAACCATAAAACTACGGAAGAGAGGAGATTGCATTTTAAAAGGAAGTGTTACTATATAGCCACCGAGCATTATGCTCCCATATTGATTTAAATTGTTATCTCCGACTCTCCTGTTTTCCAAGGCACTGGGTTTTGCTTGGATAATATACCGCTAACACCCGTGAACCATGCAATAATAATTAATGAAGTGCCTGTGGCTGCTTGGGAGTGCATCCTGCATTGCATTTAAACAGTAATAATCCCTCCTTTGTAAAAGGGTGAGCACTTCTACCAGTTCTTTCTGGCCTCAGGGGGGGCTCAGGCTCACTCAACTATTTTTCATAACCAAGAATCTGTATATCCTAATGTTCCCATTATGGGTATGTTGTCTGCAAGAGAGATTTCATCCTGTTTCATAAGATGTTATGGCTCTCCCTTTAAAAAAAAAAAAGAATCTGAATACATAAGAAACAACAAAATCGACCTTATCTCTGTGTAATATTACACCATGTGTGCCATCATAGCCATGTGCATCACTGCCCCTGCCCTCACTGCAGGTGATGAAGGAACAGTGAAATCTAAGCTCATTTTGTGCTGTTCTATGGATTGCAGTAGAGTAGGAAGGAAGAAACATGAAATTCCATGTCACAACCCACTTAAGTGGAAATACTGAAATGTACACTGATTTTTGTCCCCGTGCCATCAGTGGGACTGAATCTATTTAATTTTTAGTGCTTCTGCTTCTAGTCGGCTGTGGATCACACCAGTACAGAAGAGCTGAAGAGTTCAGAAGGATTTTTCTACGGTCTTTTCTTATCTAGTAATTGGCTGCCATTGGCAAATAATGCATTTGTGAGCTACTCCGTTTTCCTTTGCCAGTGGCTCCCACTTCATTAGGCCAAATTGTCCAGAATGAAGCACATCGATAACAGAGTTAATCAAAGTTTGAGTGCAATGGTGATGTAATTGGCTGGTAAAATGACAGTCTCATACAAAAGGAGTGGCACTGTGAACTCATCATGATGGAGAAATAATAGTGAATGCTTGTGAGAAGACCCTCAAAAGGTGTGCAAGATCTTTTGTGAACCTGAGGTCACAAAAGACAGCTTGCCAGAATGCCTGCTACTGCTGTCCCCTGTGGCAAAAGATGAATTCATGACTCCTGCTTTTTCCTTTTTGGATGCAAGTCTGCCTAGGGTTGGGGCCTATGAAGAAACACTCATTAATACAGATCTTTCCTGCCCTCCCCCTTCTTCAAACAACTTCACGAGACTTCTAAAAAGCTTTTGCAGGAAGTGCCAGGACCCATGTGAACAAAAAGCCAAAACAAAACAAAAATGACTGGAGGGTAGCTGCTGTTAAGGAGTGGGGACTGAGCAAAATTACCCTCACCTTCTTCTACCCATGCTTCCATTGACACAAGAGGCTCATTTGGCACAAGAGTGAGCAGAAGGCAATTCTCCTTGGTTTCTCCTCTGTATCTGTGGTCCTCTTGGCTAAGACATAAGAGAAGCCAATGTTGGATCAGGCCAATGGCACATCCAGTCCAACACTCTGCCACAGAGTGGCCAAAAATACCTGGTGCCATCAGGAGGTCCACTGTGTGGCCAGGACACTAGAAGCCCTCCCACTGCTGCCCCCCCAAGCACTGGAGGGGATTTCTAGGATTTCTAGCTTCTAGGATTGCAGTTTTAAATAGTCTCCAAGCTTCGCCAATGGTTTTGACCCTTTCTGTTTTTCCTTTCAGTTTCCACTTCACATGTCCCCTCATTTCAGAGACGTTATCCCTTTTAAAGTTAAAAGTTGTTGTGTCGGTCTTTTGGGGCAACTCCCTATTTATACAAATGTTGAACTCAATAACATTATGGTCACTGTTCCCAAGCGGTACAGTCACTTTTACATCTCTCACCAGGTCTTGGTGTTACTTAGGACCAAATCCAGGATCACGTCTCCCCCAGTAGATTCTGTGACCATCTGCTCCATAGCACAGTTATTGACACGTCCTGTGAACTATAGCATCATCTTTTTGCAGATCTCGAAGGATTTCTGAGGAGATGGGGAGGGAGGGAAAATGCATGTCCACTTTCTGCTTGTGATTCATAGCAACCATACCATCCAAGTCTTTTTCCACAGCCTGAAAAGGCATTGAGCATGATGCAGCCAAAGGATGTCAGTGTTGCATTAATTTCAGTGGGGAAATTAGCCACATGCTTCCTACCCCTTTGAAATTAAATATGGGGAAAGCCAGTTTAGTGTAGTAGTTAGGAGCATGGACTCTAATCTGGGAGAACCAGATTTGATTCCCCACTCCTCCACATGCAGCTGCTGGTGTGAACTTGAGTCAGTCTCAAGGGCAGTTCTCGAGAGAGAGCTCTCTCAGCCCCACCTACCTCAAAGGGTGTCTGTTGTGGGGAGGGGAAGGGGAAGGGATTGTAAGCCGCTCTGAGACTCCTTCGGGTAGTAAAGGGTGGAGTATAAATCCAATCTCCTCCTCCTCCTCCTCCTCTTCTTCTTCTTCAGGTTAGCTGTGCTGAACACATGAGGTTGCCTTATACTGAATCAAACAATTTGTCACTGTTGTCTACTCTGAGTGGCAGTGGGTCTCTAGGATCTCAGGCAGAGGTCTTTAGCATCACCTACTACCTGATCCCTTTAACTGGAGACACTAAGGATGGGATTTGGGACCTTCTGCATGCCAAGCAGGAGCTCTACCACTGAGCCACAGCCTTTCCCTGTTGGGCTATTGCTTCTACATTGGAGTTGTATTTCCTGTTAACATTTTTCATAAAAGTTACAGCTCATGCTTGAACTATTGTACTATGAACTATTTTCTATTCTTTTTGTTTTCTTTTTAGCATACAACTGTTTTGCCTTTTATATTAATTGAGATGAGAACAACACATCATGAATACCCCAGCAGGACCTGTGGACTGATTGCCGTGTGCACTTTCTCTATTGCCTACATATTATGGTAAGGCATGCATTTTTACATTATGGAATATGTTGCACTGTGGACATAATCATTCAACTACTGTTTACTGTACTTTCATGCACTTTCGGTCCACTTTCAATACACTTTAGTGATCATTTGTAACTGGATTTTGCCATTTCACACAGTAAAATCCAGTTGCAATGTTCTGCAGGGAAAATGGTATTAAAATTTGATTGATTGATTGATTGATTAATAATAATGACAATAATAATTCAGGATGCCTGTTTTGACCTACACATTTTCCTTACCTAAAGGATTTCCTTCTCCTACTGTGGTTTCTAATATTGACCCAGAATATCATCCAGTTCTGCAGGAAGCTGGATTCCTTGCATACTTGAGGATGGTCAGTGACTCAGTGCTACTTGTAGATCAACATTTTGTGTGATATGGCTTTTAAGTCTGTAAATGCAAGAAGCCATTTCTGGTTTTTTATCATCATGATAAATGTGATAAATTCAAGTCTTCGGGTTTACTTGCATAGAAGTTCTGTTTTACTATGATTTCCCCCAAGATCTAGTTCCATTCTTCCTAGACATGCTTATCAGTAAACTATCTGCTTAAGTCGACAAATAGCAGGGACTGAAAATGGCTCTGGATTTGCACTCTAAAGTGTGCCTTAATGCATGTTCCCTTCTGCTTATCTAATAATGATGTTGGACAGGAATTACAATGTTGAAGGCATTCATTAGAGTTAATAACAAGTAATCTTGTATGGAAGCTTTATGCCTAAAGGTTGATCAGCCCATTATTGTACAGTATTGAGTTAGCATGTATTCAAGTAAGAATGAACTCCATTACAAAGGCCATCAGGTAATGTTTCCATGGTAGCAGCACTACTTTTCTTATTCACATTTGTAATACAGACAATGTAGGAATACTCATAATGCCACTACTCTAAAGAATAGAAGGATAACATTAGTAATTCCAGTGCCCACCTGAATCTATCCAGTGTAGTACGTTGGGCTCGTTTTTGTTTTTTGTTTTTTTGTTTCATTGAGGTCAGCCTAGCTAATCATGGGTAGGGGGTTTTTTGTTTGTTTGTTTCACTGAGGTCAGCCTAGCTAATCATGGGTAGGTTTTGAACTCTTTCTCAAAGTGTATTTGTATGCTGATTTGCTGCCATCCACAGGTCTTACCAACCGCTTTAATCCAAGCTCAGCTATACTTATCTTCCAGCTATTTATGCTCCTGGACTCTAACTAGCCCATCCTGGCAACTAATCGCCCCCACCCTCCCTCTACCTATATATGTAAGGCTTGAGGAAAACTGTTTCAATGTATCTGATGACGTGTGTGTGCACACAAAAGCTTATACCCAGAATTAAACTTTGTTGGTCTTAAAAGTGCCACTGGACGCAAACTTTGTTCTATTGCTTCAGACCAACACAGCTACCCACCTGAATCTTTCTTTCCCTGTTAAACTATATCAGTGGCTTTCCATTTGCTTGTACTGCTGCTGCAGCATCAAACATGTAAAATCTAAATGGAAAATGATCTTTTGTGCTTTAAGTGCTACTAAACAAAATTCAAATAAAGCAACGAGAGACCCTAGTGCCTCCAAGAAAGTCTGACACCCCTCTTACCTCACTGATCTGGACTGAAGATACATTTCTGGGTAAGTGTTAGGGCACATTTGGTTAGTAACATTTTGTTCACTAGAGTGCAGTGAACTGGATCAGAACCTGTTCTGGATGAGAATACTCACCCAACAATTGTATTTCAAAGTATAGTCACACTTTCCCCCCCAAAAAAATAAACTACCAGTGGCCGTGTGGGCCATTGAAATTTCCTTTTTTCTGATGATTGCATTCAGTCATCAGGTTTCTTCATGTGGCCGAAGCAGGGTGTGGGATTGTGCAGTAAATGCTCAGTTGTTACCACTGGATGCATGCAACCCAGACACCTTTACTCAAAGTGCGTGTGTCAGACATTTGCCCAGTAGTAAAACTGCAAAAATTGTTGTTGAGAAAATTAATTTATTCCTCCCCCCCCCCAATAATGGTTTCATTACTTTGGAACTTACAAAATGCAGTTCTGCAAATATCACAATTATCTATGATACAGTGCTTAAGACTGCAATACAAACCATTCTTCTATATGTGGCTCATTTCCATGACTTTTTACATGCTTTCTAAGGCTTTATATCCCCTTGTTATGTAGCATCAATCTGTAAAAGGTAAATTGAATATAAGCATAGGTACAATTCAGATTACCATGTGGAAATGGTAGTCACTCAGTTTCATTTATCAAAAGTGGGCTCCCGGTGCTTTTATTAACATTTTAAAGGACCACGAAGACAGACTTTTACATTCTCTCAACAGCATTATTTTTAAAAAATAAAACAAAATAAAAGCTTCACAATTTATGAAGATTTTTTTTTTTTAATATGGAGCTTGTATATTCTCCATGCTTTTCAGGGTACCATGACTAAACTTGTCAATTTCATTTCATTTTGTGAACAAGAATCCTTGCTACTTTCACTGTTTCACTAATTTCACATGTGATGGCAGAAGCAAAACTGATAATAATAGAGGCTGAAAATGACAAAGCTCATTTTCCACACTGCAGGAAGGCCTATAGAGAAGGGAGTGAAACATTAATTTCTCCAACACATCTAGCTCTTATATAGAAAAAACTGGGCCTTCAGCAGGTTTTTCAGCAGGATAGCTAACCTAGCTGCACTGCTGTCATTTCTATGTCTTCTACACCTTGTGTGGAGACGAAATGGCAGGTTTAATCATTAAAAGTGAAGTGGAAAATCTCCAAGCAAGCACTAGTGGATCTTGATCAGCAACGAGAAGGAATATGGTTCAAAAAGTACAATGGACCATTTTTAAACTAACTTTGTATCTTAAGGCAAAGACTATTGTCTCTTTAGGCCCCGGTCACACGAAAGGTTTTGGGCCGGGAGAGGGACGGATCGGGGGCGCAGCAAATGGGCATGATCCCACTGCATCATCTGGGAAACGTTGCGCACCTGTCCCCGATCCGGCCCTTCATGCTGAAAAGCCGCATCTAGAATAAACCACCTACAGAGGTGGACTTACCAGCACGGCCGCATCAAGCGTGGCCGTGGGATCGCCGGTGAGTCCTTTTGCCGGCGCATCCAAGACCCCTGGCCGAACTGCGCATGCTCACACATGCGCAGTTCGGCAGCCTCCGTCTCTGTCTCGTCGCTTTCTCCCTGGTCTCCCCGGCATCTGATCGTGCCAGGGAGCAACTGCGCAGCGGCTCACGGGATCTGTATGATCCCGCCGCCGCATGTCTATTTTGGTGCGGCTTTCAAAAGCCCACGCTTCCCCCACACACACATGTGGCAGGGACCTTAATTCTCTTTCTGCCATTCCACATTCCTGTGTGCTATGTGCTGTGAAATCACTTCCCGACTTATGGCAACCCTGTGAATTAATAACCTCCAAAATGTCCTGTCATTAAGCCTTGCTCAGGTCTTGCAAACTGAAGGCCGTATCTTTCTTTATTGAGTCAATCCATTTCATGTTGGGTCTTCCCCTTTTCCTGCTGCCTTCAACTTTTCCTAGCATGATTGCATTTTCCAGTGGGTCTTGCCTTCTCATGATGTGACCAATACTACAGCCTCAATTTATGATATGATAGCCTCAATTTAGTCATGCTAGTATGATAGCCTCGGTTTAGTCATTCTAGCTGCTGTGGAGAATTCAGGCTTGATTTGATCTAGAATCCACTGATTTGTCTTTTTGGTGGTCCAGGGTATCTGTGCCCTGACCTGGATAGCCCAGGCTAGCCTGACCTTCATAGATCAGGATGGGGGAACCTCCAAGGAATACCAGGGTTGTGATATGGAGGTACACAACGGCAAACCAACTCTAAATGTCTCCTGCTTTGAAAACCCTATGGGGTCACCATAAGTCAGTGGTGACTTGATGGCATTTCCCACCATCATGGTATCTGTAAAACTCTCCTCCAACACCATATTTCAGATGAATCAATTTTCTTCCTGTCATCTTTCTTCACTGACTATGTTCCTGGCCACAAAGTAAGAGGGCTGAATCTTCACTGAATATTGCTGACATTATCAGGTGCTAATTAGCTATACTGCTTGGTGATGGCAGCTGACTTGCTGAGGGTTAGCATGAGTTCAGGACGGTCCTTTGTTTAGGCAGCAATGATATGAAAGAAAGAATGGCAAAAATCTGGACATAATAAATAACAGACTGTTTTTCTTGGATGGATGGATGGATGGATGGATGTGAGAGATAGACAGACAGACAGAAGGTGATTATATTTAAATAATAAAGTCTATCTTCTGTTGTAGAATCCTCTCCATTATTCCAGGCTATCTGGCAAAGTACTTATTTCTTGCTTGAGGCTGCATTTTATAGGCCTTTTCAAAGATGGTGGAATTCTCCACCCAAGAAATCTTATGAGGCTCAATTTTTATTTAATCATCAGCTTTTATTTTGTAAGATGTTTCTGGCAGGAAGTGAAGTTAAATGGTTTGGAAATTTACTATGGTGCACTGCTGTTCTTCTACTGTGCCCAATATGTTGGATCCAAACTTTATGTAACTGAAAGGAGTCTACAAAAGCAGATCTTCCCTACTTTCCCTTTACTGCAGCAGCCTCCTGTTTCTCCCAAAGCTACTGCTGGTGATTCTGCTGGTGGTTTGGGGAGGGGGGAACGATGCTGACCTAAGGTTGCCAACTGGACAGGAAAAATAATGTCCTGTCCCTTTAAAGAGGTTTAACGAGTGGAAATAATCAGTTGGTCAGTTGATGCTTTTCATGGCATGAAGTTAAATAATATCACTTGATAATTACTTGTAGATTAAACTGATATAAAAGGGACAGTTAGAGGGACCAGTTTAAAAATGTGCAAACCCTACCCTAAAGATACTATTTGTCCCACAGTAGAAAAACGCAAGCATGTATTAGTAACTTTCCTTTGAATTAGGAGAACTATGTGGAAAAGACTAAAAAAAACCCTTCCCCAGTCCAATCAGATTTGAAGATTTATTTATTTCATCAGAATTATACCCTGCCCTCCCAGCCTACCAGGTCTATAGTATATCAATAAAAACAAGGGCAGCTTACATAAAACCAGCAGAAACATTTACAGTATAGTAAAACATTTAAAACAGTATTAAAACACCAGGTCTATAGTATATCAATAAAAACATGGAGAGATCTGATCACAGATACCTAGTATTACAAATAGTTTGGTCCTGTATGTTTTATTGGATATCCCATGCTGTTGATTGTATTTGATTACTATGTATTCTGCCTTGAGTCTCAGTGCGAAAGCCAAACTATAAGTACCATAAATAGATATATTTTAAATGAGATATTGTGAGGACACTTCTGAGCCATCCATTGTATACATTTTTAAGAGAAAGAAATACTAAAATTTGTTAACAAATTTGACTATTCCTGTTTCTTACTGCTTCTGTTTAACCATCAATTCTAAATAAATGTGTTAGGTATCATATTTCAGTAGTTCTGTATATTATAGATGTAATATAGAAAAACCAATGAATATTAGAGTAACTCAATAAAGCTGACAATTCCAACATTTTCTATTTCTGTTTCCAATGCATATTAGGGTCTGTTGGATATATCATGTAACAGGGGTTTGGGTGTATCCCCTCCTGGACTACCTTGGCTCAGAAGCTAAAATTATCTTCTTCGCAACTGTAACTGCAATAATTAACATCTTCTACTTGCTGGGTGAGGTACTAAACAACTGCATTTGGGATACACAAAAATGTGAGTATTATTTTGAGAAACAATGATATGATTATGCAAGTAAAGGATTACTATTGGCATTATAAAGACCTAAAAGATTGACTCTACCATGTTCTTTTCATGTGATGAGGTGTTTAAATCCTTTCACAGTGTGGTCATTTCACATTATGTTTCTATGTCAAAGAAAATGCTTTCAGTCATTTTAATCTAATTTTATAAATTGTTATACATCGGTGCCTGTTCACACAAATACCATGTCACACATAAAAATGCTTTGGATAAAACAATATATAAAATTACATTGCTTTTGTATACTTTTTGCCCTATTAAGGGGTGGCCCAGTAATTTCAGCCCTATATTGTCCAAAGAAATATCTTTAGCTGCCACTGAAAGGAGGGGAAATGAGGATCACAGAACAATTTTACATGGCCTCTGGAGTTGGTTAGTTTCCCTTGCAACAAAAAGAAGCAGTTTTGCACATGAAACAGCTATTGTCAATCTGCCTACTGATGGGATCTTTCAGAAATACATTTATTCCATAATCACTCATCTGCCTCCTCCCCCATCAGTAGGCTTCCCAAGTCCCCCCGGGGGGCGGGGAAACCCCCGCCCCAGAGGCCCGTTCCCCGCTGCCGCCGGATCGGGCCCCGGGGGGAACTCCTCCCCGACATGCGCGTCACCTGGAAGTGACGTGACCACGCCGGGCACGCTGGGGGTGGGGCCACGGCCATCCAAGGGAAAGCTCTATGGTTTTCCCTCATATGGCCATGGCCCCGCCCCCAGCGTGCCTGGCGTCGTCACGTCACTTCTGGGTGATGTGCATGTGGCGCACGCACACTTTGCGCGTGCGCACACACACAGGGAGCCCCCCGCTCCCGGCGAAGATCAACTTGGCAACCCTACCCATCAGTGACGAAGTACATATTTTTCCTATTTTCAGTTCACTTACTGCTGTGTGATGGACCATTTATTGGGAAGGGAGATCAGAGAACAGAAAACAAAGTGGCCCCACCCAAAATTCAAAAATCACACATCTCTGCTGTATGGAACAGGCTTTTTGTTCCACATTGTGATGGACAGGGTAGGTTCCAGAGCAACTAATGAGAGCTGATAGAATGTTGGGAGAGGGAGACTTGGAAAACATAGATGCATGGGTATTTGCTCTCTCAAGTTCTGCATCCATTTAATCATACATTTTTTCACTTGTTCTTCCATTTTCTACCTGAAGCTATAACTTGTATATTCTTCCTCATAGGTGATCTTTTTGTTCTATAATCAGCTGTTCAAAGTCAGTCATCTCTCTCATAGCTCCCCCTTCCATGTTAATTATCTTCTTTAAACTTTAAACTAATTGCTGATATAATAGCCAATGAATATTGATTCCTTCATCTCTAATATCTTGCCAGGACTTGAGTTTCCCTTGAGTATTTACCATATTACCATACATTATGAGCTTCTATTGGTGACATAAGTGGAGAATTTGGAGGAGTTAATAAATTCTGACATTTAAACTATATTCTCAAAAGTCCATCTCTAATTATATGACTCCTTACTTGAGTTGTGATCATTTTGGTTGATTTCTTTATCCATAAATAATTATGTAAACCTTAATCTAAGTCTGCTGATTCAAGTTTTACTATTCTTTGTCTTGGATTTTTAATCCAGTCTGTAATCCATACCAGATCTGCCACTTGATAATATCATTTTATATTTGGGACTGCTAACCTCCCTTTCTTTTTCTCATCTTGGAGTATTTTAAAACTTATTATTGGTTTCTTGCGATTCCAAGTAAATTTATTTATCTGTCTTTGCCACTCTGTCAATATTCTTTCTTTTATGTATATAGGTAGCATTTGAAATAGAAAGTTTAATTTTGGCAATACATTAATCTTCATTGCTGAAATTCTACCCAGCCACAAGATTGTTAATTTTTTCCCATCTGGATAAATCTTCTTGTATCAATTTCCAGGTCTTCTGATAAAGATTACCGTTTTGACTTATCATGTTTATCCCCAGATATTAAATAGAATCAGTGGGTACTGTACATTCTGTATTCTTTATAATACCTTCTTGTTGTCATTTTTGTCTTCTTTCTATTGATTCTGTATCCTGAAAAGGATACCATTTTTTCAGTATGTTCCATTATATACTGAATGGCTTTTGTGGATCCAAACTGTTAAGACCATGTAGTCTGCATAACTTTTCATTTCAAATTCTGTGTCATCAGGGGTCATTTCGTAGAAAAAGAGCTGCAGGAGCTCATTAGCATATGATATGCTAATGAGCTACTAGGCTATTAGCATAATAGCTCATTGGCATATGCAATGCCCCCTGACATAACTGGAAGTGATGTCAGAAGGGGAAGCAAAAGGTGGGGAAGGCATCTTCAAAAAGCCTCCCCTTCCCTTCCCCAGCCAGCAGGGGGGGGAGCAAAGAGACAAGGGGTTTAAAGTTTCTGCATCCAAAAAGTTTAAACCCCTTCTCACTAGAGTTGGACTGCAGAAGGAGGAAAGAGGGAAGGAAAGAGAGAGAGAGAGTAGAGAGAAGGAACAAAGGAAGGAA